TTGAGCCAAACAAGTTCACAGGAAGCTCGAGGCCATAGCTCTATATTCCGCTTCGCACTAGATATTGCCATAACACTTTGTTTCTTACTTTTCCACGAGATCAAGTTACCACCAATGGAGACACAATATCCAGATGTAGATCTTCTATCCGAAGGAGATCCTGCCCAATCAGCATCTGAGTAGCAAACAACTCTTGTATGGTTATTAGAACCATATAACAATCCTTTTCCAGGAGATCCTTTAATATACTTCAAGATACGAATGAATGCATTCCAATGATCTTCACATGGTGAATTAAGAAATTGACTTACTACACTGACTGCAAAGGAAATGCCAGGACGAGTAACTGTAAGATAATTCAATTTTCCAACCAATCTTCTATACTCGCTCAGGATCGGATATAGGCTCCCCCGATTTGGTAGAAGTTTAGTATTGGGATCCATGGGTGTATCAACAAACTTTGAACTCATCAACCCAGTTTCCTCCAAAATATCTATGGCATACTTCCTCTGAGATATAACAATACCATCATTGGACTGTGCCACCTCAATACCCAAGAAATATCTAAGTTTGCCAAGATCTTTGGTCTGAAAATGGTGACAGAGATGTTGTTTCAACTGAGAGATGCCATGGTTGTCACTACCTGTAAGAACGATGTCATCAACATATACTATCAAGTAAACACATCCAACACTCGAGTGTCGATAAAAGACAGAATGATCTGATTCACACCGAGTCATACCAAATTGTTGAACAACCTTGCTAAAATTTCCAAACCAAGCCCTAGGAGACTGTTTTAGGCCATATAGGGATTTACGAAGACGACATATCATCCCAGAAGACTCCCCTTGAGCAACAAACCCATGGGGTTGCTCCATATATATTTCTTCTTGTAAATCACCATTGAGGAAAACATTTTTAACATCCAGTTGATAAAGAGGCCATTGTTGAAGAGCAGCCATGGCGATAAACAAACGAACAGAAGCCATCTTTGCCACAGGGGAAAAGGTATCTCCATAATCCAACCCAAAAATTTGAGTATAACCTTTGACCACAAGACGAGCTTTGAGGAGATCAATAGTACCATCAGGTCCAACTTTGATAGCAAACACCCACCTGCAACCAACAACAGATTTCCCAGACGGTAACGGGACCAATTCCCAAGTTTCACTATTATGAAGAGCACTTAGTTCATCTAACATGGCCTGGCGCCAACTAGGATGGGCTAAAGCTTCACGGACAGTTTTTAGAATGGTCACAGAAGAAATAGAGGAAAGACATGTATACAAAGGTAATGACAGTCGATGATAACTCAAAGCAATATAATGGGGAGAGGGATTACGTGTAGAACGAATACCTTTTCGAAGGAAAATGGGAAGGTCAGACTCATGTGTCAGATTCAGAGGAGACAGAGTAGTTGACACTTTTGTAGAGTCACATGGTGTTGATTGTGATTGGTTTCGAGAACTATAAATCTGAAGAGGTAGTGGAGAAGGAGCTGACTGCGGAGCAGGAACTAATGGTGAAGAAGACACAGTTAGAGGGTCACAAACAACAGGAACATTAAATGTATTAGGAGTGTTGACAAGATTGGATGGAGACAGAGGTGAAGTTTGACTTTTAAAATAAAGAGACAACTCATCAAAGGTGACATCTTTTGACACAAAATAACGGTTAAGAGAAGGAGAAAAACATTTGTATCCTTTTTGTGATCTTGTAAACCCTAAGAAAACACATTTATGTGATCTAGGAGAAAGCTTGCCAAGACCAGAACTAAAATTATGAACAAAACATGTAGACCAAAAAAATTTCAGAGGTAAAGGATGAAGTGGTTCATGAGGGAATAAAATGGAATGAGGTATTTTATTATCTAAAACCGAAGAAGGCATGCGATTAATGAGATAACATGCAGTAAGAAGAGCATCACCCCAAAAATGTTGAGGAACATCTCCATGAATTAAAAGTGTGCGAGTTGTTTCAATAAGATGTCTATTTTTACGTTTAGCTACACCATTTTGTTGAGGTGTATAAGCACAAGAAGTTTGATGCAAAATACCGTGAGAAGCCATGAATTGTTTAAAAGAATGAGAAAGATATTCACGACCATTATCACTATGCAAAACTCTAATAGAAACACCGAACTGAGTTTGAATTTCATTAAAAAAAGTTTGAAAGATATGAAATAATTCAGAACGATTTTTCATAAAAAATAACCAAGTGCATATGGAATAATCATCAATGAAAGTAACAAAGTATTGAAAATATAAAGTAGACTTAACGCGGCTAGGTCCCCAAATTTCAGAGTGAACCACGACAAAAGGGGACGAAACACCACATGTGAAACTATGAGGAAAGGAAGTACGACTATGCTTGCCTAATTGACATGACTCACACGCCAAACTAGATAAGTTGGACAAGGCAGGGACAAGTTTCTGTAACTTGGAAAGACTTGGATGACCTAACTGAGCATGAAGAAGAGAGGGAGACTCCATAACTGTACTAACATGTGTAGAGGGACGGAGATAATAAAGACCATGAGACTCACATCCTGTGCCAATCACCTATTTCAAACTCCGGTCCTATAAACACACAAAATTGTTGGTAAAAGTAACAACACAATCAAGAGAACGAGTTAGACGACTGATGGACAATAGGTTAAAAGGAGACCCAGGGACATAAAGAACATTATCAATGGTTAAAGAAGGAAAAAGTTTAACCGTTCCAACACCATGAGATGATACTCTAGAGCCATCAGCCAGTGTAACAGAAGGTAAATGATTAGGAAAGGATGAAGAGGAGAACAAAGATTTGTTACCAATAATATGATCAGTGGCTCCCGAATCAAAAACCCAAGGACCAGGAGAAAATGATTGGGTCAGACCAGCAAAATATGTATTTGTATGTGTGACAGATATAATGGAACTAGAAGACTGTTGATCCTCATACCATTCGAGAAATTTGTTGAACATAGCAGGCATGTCAGATGCAACAGAAGAAGGAAGATCCCCTGCAGATAAAGATGGGGAAAGATTGGTCTGAACAACTACAGTAGATTGAGGAGGACAACCATGTAATGTATAACACTTGTTAATCTTGTGACCTAGCATGCCACAATGTTCACACTTAGGACGCCCTTTTCCCTGTTTGCGAGGGCGAGCCCGGTCATCACGATGAGATGTCAACATAAAAGAATCGTTAATAAAATTGGAAATAGTGGAAGAAGTCGAAGAAGTCATGAAGAGTGGGAGAACAAACCCTAAAACAATCCAAAGTAATCCAATTAATCCACGAAGCACAAATCCAAAATGAGAATACTAAAAATAAGTTCGCCAAGACTAAACGGCGCAGGAGACAATGGGACGACCAACTCCGATAGTGGTGATCTCAATGACACTGTGGTCACCTGATCGAGACAAGCAAAATCATATGTCACCTAGTTAAAAAAATGAAACTCCGGCGAATTCTCCGAAGCGGCAGATCCGATGGATCTGCTCCAAATGGCAATGATGGACGACAACGTGAACTAGTACACCAGGTAAGTTCCCAGGAAAGAGAGGTGGGTCACTAATGGACACACTTAAATACCAAGTCTTTCCTTGCCGTAACTTTCCTAAACATGCACTTTCACACTACCAAATAAAATTCAGTGACAAAGATAATTCTTTTCTGATGTGGAGGATCAGTTTACCAGCAGCGGTGGGGCGGCTCCAACAGTGGACAAAAGACGGAAAAAAAATTCAAGATAACCTTAAGCTCTAGATACCATGTTGAATATAGAGAAAAATAGGGTTTAGAATTAATTTCCCTTGTGTATAAATCACACATAGGGTGATCTATTTATAGTAGAGAGATACAACTAAAAGAGTAACTGAAAGTAACAGAATAAACAGAAGATATTGTTTGATATTGTGGTTACCAATATCTAACAATATCTTAACAATATCAAATAATATCTAAACAATATCTAACAGGGATAAATATATTTGATTAGCTAAATTATAGGGTTGTATAGCAACACAAAATATTATATAATCGAACTTCCTTTATTTAGTCCCGATTTGTTAGAGTAAAATATTATAAGATAATAATATCTCGTGTACAAAAATAATATGAATAAAATTATAGAATAAATTCTATGTTTTTCAATTATAGTATCCTATTATATTATAATTTGATAATAAAGTTATGTTTGATATTATCCATAACTTAATACAACATGATCTTAGGAAAAGTTAGAAGAAAAAATTGCATAATTTTTTGTGATTGATTGAAAATTCCAATTAATTAATATTTTAACAAATGTCATTTCAAATAAAACATTTTTAAAATGTCCTGTGAAATTAAACATGAGATTTATATTCTGTAACCTAAGGAAGATTGTTGAGATTTATTTTCTTTTTATTATTTTACAAAATCTCATATATAAAATATATATTATTTGATTAAAATTTAGTATAATTATAAATAGGTTATCCATATTTTATTTCATATAAAATAATAAATATATTTTAATTTTTTTATTGATTTGAGCCATAAATCCAACCATAACTACAAATAAAAAACGTGGACCACCTATGATTTAAGCGCCATATTTAATATATATGGGACAAATTTTGAACTAAAAATGGGTGGCAGAATTTACTATTGTTCACCACGCGGCACCATATCTTGTTCCATTCGTGAAATGTTTAGCACGCTTTCCTTTTTGTCATAACAACGGACATGTTTTCTAGCCACTCGTTCCTTGATATTATCTATAGTAAGGATATATCGTACGTAGTAAACTTTGCTTGTCGTTAGTAAACAAATAATATGAAATAAAAGTTTTATGTAAAGACGAAACATTTTTCTCGTGTTGGCAATCTTTATAACCAATTAACAGAAAAACTTGAAAAAAAAAAAGGTTTTTGCTTGAACATGCTTCGACCACTATAAGTAGATAGGGTTGGTTCATTCTCTTACACTCATAAACTCAAACAAGAAATCGAGAACAGAATCTGATGGGATGCAGAAGGGTAGCTTTTGTCCTATTTTTGTTCTCCCTGTTGACTCTATCCTGTTCACAGGTTGAGAATGGTGTCATTGGCGTGTACTGGGGCCAAGACCACCGCGACGGCGATTTGCAAAGTACATGCGATTCTGGAAATTACCGCATTGTGCTCCTCGCTTTTCTTCGCGTTTTCGGTGAAGGAAGAAGGCCACATTGGGACTTCGTTGGCCTCTGTGACAGTCCTTTTTCTTACAACTGCACCGAACTGGAGCCCCAAATAAAGCACTGCCAGGTATGCTGGGATCCAAAGGAGATCCAACAACATTTTTGAATTTCTGTATTGAAGGTTGTTAAAGTTTAAAGTTGATGTTGACTGGTTGCAGGCAAAAGGCATAAAAGTGTTCCTTTCCATCGGAGGACCGCCATGGTCGGACTACTCCCTGAGCTCGGCGGAGGACGCAAAGAACGTGGCGAGGTACATCTACAGGAACTTCCTGAGTGGGCGATTTGGTCCATTGGGAAGCGTGGAGTTGGACGGCGTCGAATTCCACATCAGAAAGAGTGGGAATCACTGGGACGACCTTGTCAAAGAACTCGACTTTTTCCGACACAGCAGAGGCCCTTACTTCCAGTTGGCTGCAGCCCCTCGGTGTCCAGTCCCAGTTTACTATCTGGGCAACGCCATTGAAACCAAGCTTTTCGACTACATCTTCGTCCGATTCTACGAGGACCCATGTTGCGAGGCTTCGTATGAGGGGGATACGACGCTGTTGTTGGAGTCGTGGGACAAGTGGGTGAACTTGGCTCCGCCCAACAGCACCATCTTCCTGGGGCTGCTATCGTCGCTTACTGCAGGGGGAACTGGGTACGTTAGGCCCAGTATAGTGAATCGTGAAGTGCTTCCGCATGTGAAGAAAGCCTCCAACTATGGAGGAGTGATCCTGTGGAATAGGTATCGTGATATTGTATGGAACTTCAGCGGCAGAATACTCCCCAATGTGCCCAAATCCACCTTACTTTCGTCGGTGTCTTGAATGTATGGACAAGTGTGCTGGCTAATCTAATAAAGGCACCTGAATCTAATATAACAATCATTCATTACTGTTCTACTATTATTAGCTTATAAGAATATTTTTAAAATTCATTATATTTAATAAAATAATATTTTTAATATAATAAATATATAACAATTTATTAAGAATAATAAAATTTTTATTGAAAAAGGGAAAATAATTGTAATAATAATTAAAATATTGTTTATCCGTTAATTATAATAAATATTATAAATAAATAAAAAATAATGATTTAAAAATAATGTAACTAATTATTAAAGAAAAAATAAAAAAAATGTTATATCTTTTATTTTTTTAATTTGTTTTATTAAAATTAGCTTGACATAACATTTTAGTGAATTTTTCAATTTTTATTTTTTTACAGTTTTATATCATCGATTTAATCAATTTTTTTTTATAAATAACGTTAATTCTCAATTCGACCAACTAAATTTACAGATCCGATTTAATTTTCAAAACTCTAATTTATAATAACTTTATAAAATAAAAAAAAGGTTATTCTATATGTTAAAACAAAATTTTCACTTTGTAGTTGAGATGTTCTACCGTATCACGTGTAGATCTATGTAAAAAAAATAAAATTTTAATGATATTTAAAGAGATTATATGAGAAATCTTTTATTATAGTTATACAAATATAATATTAATTCATGAAGAAGTTTAAATTTTCTTTTTTCCTCTTATGAAATCCCTGCTAAAGAAACTTATCCCACACCAAATCCTAAATAAACTACTTGCTGTATTTGGATAAAACCAGTTGCTGGAGTTCTACCTGAAAGTCTCCAAAATGTTGTTAAGTTAGACTTGGGACATTCACTGTAAAAGAAGAAAACAGAGCTTGTAAAAGAAGAAAAACAGAGCTTATAAGTACACATACTTTATTTACTAATTAAATAATGTTTCGTAATGTTTGGATAAAATTGCATACGTTATTGTGAGTTCACTAAAATATCTTATTGTAAGATCATCTATGTTAATAAGATGTTTAAGTATTATTACTATCAATGTTGTGGAGATAAAATAATGAAAAAAATTATTTTATCTCAATAAAATTTAGAGTATCTAAATATTCTCTTATTATTTATCTTAAGTAGATATTTTTCTTATTATAATTTGTTGTTAAATTAAAATATGTTATAAATCTTTAATAAAATCATTCCTGGATCAAATATACATTTTTCTAATGTTATAATATTTACTGTCATTTTTAATTTAGGTTTAGAATTTGTTTCAAATTTCTTACCACAACTTTATCTAGTTAACTTTAATTTTTTTTTTCATATATTACGTTTCCTTTCATACTTGAGTAATATACAAAACTGAAAAAAAAAATCAATTGTATTTTGATCAAATCTGTCCTGAAAAAAAAAGAAGAAGAAGAAGTAAAGGTCAAATTTTTTATTTTATTTTTTATCCCATAACAATACAATAATTTCAAATAATAATTATTTTATAATATATTTTATATTTATAATTTTTTATTGATATTTATGATACTAATTTTATTTATTTTTATAAAAAATTATTATTAATAATAAATTTATTATATTATAAAAATATTATTTTATTAAATCTAATTGATCAAATTAAATTTTTACACTTGAATTTATATCATTATTGATTTAGTAATTATTTCAATTTTTTTAAAATTATTTTTAAAACATATATTTGTCCATCATTAATTGATTTTGAATATCGACTTAAAAAAAGTAATTATATTATTTAAAAAGAGTTTTTAAAATATTAAAATATAAAGCTTTTGTCTACATAAACTCTAATTTTAGTCGTTATCACATGTAAAGAGAAAGTTGTACGAATATAATTGTATTTAATATAATAACTGAATTATACAATCACACTATTAAATAACTCCAATAATAGAGTATTTGAAATGGTCAATGAGGTTTATTAGGCTAACCTAATTGAAACAATTATTATAACATAATTGTTGAATTATTATCTAACACAATCTCATCATTTAACAATCAATTTAATATTCAATTTATTTCTTAATTCTTCGAACATTTGATTATTCAAAGGTTTCGTTATAATGTCCGTCAGCTGCTCTTTCGTACCACAATGTTCAAGTCTCAGCTTCTTCTTTCTTACTTCATTTTTGATGAAATAAAATCTCAATCTGATATGTTTGCTTCTCCCACAATAAATTGAATTTTTTGCTAGATTGATGACTGACTTATTGTCAATCTTCAGTGTCGTAGTTTTTTTTGGTCTTCTAAGGATTCGATTCACCAAACTCTCGATTCATAGTGTTTGACAAGTTGTATGAGTAGCAACAATGTATTCAGCTTCACAAGAGCATAGTGTCACAATATATGTTATAATTCGAGCACCATGAAATTAGTGATTTTCCCAATAGGAATACATATCCTCATGTACTTCTAAAACCAATTTTATCTCCAACCCAATCCGAATCAGAATATCCAACCAACTCTTCTTCATTCTGATGTGTAACATTTGGTAATAGAATGTCAAAATCAATCGTCCCTTTAATATACCTCATAACTTTCTTAGCTATTGTAAGATGAGATGCTTTGGATCTCTCCATAAATCTACTCAACAACCCAACACCTTGATCTCCGGTCTACTGTAACACAAGTATCTTAAACGGTCAACCATTTGTCTATAACTAGTAGCATTTACATATTTCTCATCTTCATCTTTATCAAGTTTCATCTTTGTCTCGATTGATATAATTGTCGCAGTACACTCACTCATTCTAAACTTCTTGAACATTTTTAGCATATTTATGCTGATGAATCAAAACACCTTTTTTTTGCCGTCGTTGAATTCCATTCCTAAAAAAATATGACATTTTTCGTAGAGTGGTCATCTCAAACTGATCTTGCATCCTCTTTTTAAAATTATCGATCGAAGTAATTTTACTGCTTGTAATCAAAATATCATCGACATATAAACAAACAATTAACACATCATCTCATTTAATCTTCAAGTAAATTCCAAGCTTGGCTTCACACTTTAAGAATTCTTGTTGTAAAAGACAACCATTTATTCTAGTGTTGTTTAAAACCATACAACACCTTATTCACTCTAAGAACCTTTTGTTCTTCTCTAGTAATCACTAACCTTAGTGGTTGTGTAACATAAACTTCTTCATCCAATTCACCATTCAAAAATGCAGATTTTACATCCATTTAATGAATTTGCCACCTTAATAGTTGGCGAAAGCTACAATTGTTCTTATTGTTTCCATCTTGGCAACAAATGCATACACTTCTTTGTAGTCTAAACCTTCTCTATGTAGAAAGCCTTTCATCATAAGTTTGGTTTTGTATCTTGCAACTATTTTGTTTGGTTTCAACTTCGTTTTGTACACCCATTTTACTCCAATTGACCTTTGATTTTCTGGAATATTAGTTAATTCCCATGTTTTATTCTTCTCGATTGCCAACAACTCTTCTTTCATGACTTTGACTCACTTGGGATTCTTGACCACTTCTTCAAAGCAAACTAGTTTAGGCTCGACATCAACATATATCGTCCTCCGTTTCTCTAATCATTTGTCAAGATATTGTGATAGTATCATCAGTATTAATCACATAATCATTTAGTCTCACTGGTGTCCTAATCGATCTTATATGTCAATTTTTCCTTCCTTTGATGGTAGAAATTGGTCAATTTTTATCTTTTTTTTTTTTTTACTTTTGATGTTAGTCAATTTTCACCATCTTCAATTTCAGAAGTCGATCGATCATTATCTTTGATTTCTATATTACTTGAGTCATCGAAACTAACACTTTGATTTTCCATCGAACACTATTTCTAATTTTTTTTCTATCTACAACAATATCTCTATTGATGATGATCTTCTTCTTGATAGGATCATACAACTTATACACATCAGTTGCATGATATCCTACCAAAATCAATTTTTTGCTTCTATCATCAAGTTTCTTCCTCCTCTCATCTGGAACATGTCTCCAAGAAATTGAGCCAAATATTCTCAAGTGTTTTATGTTGACTTTCTCCCATACCATACTTCTTTTAGTGTTTTCTCCTTCACTCTCTTCATTGAACATCAATTTAAAATATATACGGTTGTTTATACCACTTCTCTCCAAAACGAATGTGACAAACCTTTGATCTTCAACATACTTCTAACCATATTTAAAATTGTTTGATTCTTCTTTCCGTAACTTCATTGTGTTGTGGTGTGTATAAGGGTACAATCTCATGCAAAATACCATTCATCTTGCAAAATAATGCAAACTCATTGTTATTGTATTCTCCACCACTGTTCGATCTTAACAATTTAATAGCTCGACCACACTATTTCTCGATTGATTAAAAATCAATGAAACAACTTTATCTTCTTATCGAGCAAGTACACTCACATCTTCTTACTATAGTTATCGATGAACATCACAAAATACCTATTGTAACCTAGTGAAGGAACATCAAAGGGTCTACACACATTGGTGTAGATAACTTCCAACACATCCTTGCTTCTGATCTCAATGCGTACCTCAGAAATTCTAGGCTTGTTTTTGTCTTTACATTTTTTGACTTGAGGCAATCCAATCATCATCTCTTTTTCTGCAAGTTGGCTCAAATTATCAAAGCCAAGATGATCATACCTTAAATGTCACAACCAATTGACATCAGAGATTGCTGCTGTAAAACACAAGTTATTCAATATTGGAATATTTACTAAAAAATCTTTGTTCTTACTAAGAGGTGCCTTCAAAATTAGTGTCACATTTTTATCAAGGATTCTCAACATTTTCTCTCTCGATCTCCAATCGATCAAACATCCTTTTTGAAAAAGTTGACTGAGACTCAACAAATTGTGCTTTATGATTGGAACGTAGAGCACATCCAAAATTATTGCAGATTTGTCATCTCTTTCTTTGATCATTATTCTACCTTTCCTTTCACAACTCACTATATAATTATCTGCAAATTTTACTTTGATATAACAC